ATAGAAGCTTAGAGTTCTGGGGAAAGCTCTGGGTTGGAGATATAGATTTGGGGGTCATCAGTATATTGATGATATTCTAAACCTGGGGACTGGATAGAGTCCTAGGGAGAGAATGTATTTAAAGAGTAAAGCCTCAGGGCACTTCGAGATGTAAGGATCTGACAGAACAGCAGGGATAGGATTCAACAAAGTGCACTATGGAGAAGTAGCCAGTGAGCTACGTAGAAAATTACCCCCCACAACAAAGAATTATCCAGCACAAACTATCGGTAGTGCCAAGGTTGAGAAACCTTACCTTAGAGTAATAGTTCTAAAATTTTAGCATGCATCGGAATCACCTGCGGGATTTGTTAAAATACAGACTCTCAAAGGGGTTAATTTTAAAGTTTCTGATGTAGTAGGTCTAGAATTCCTAACAAGTTGCTAGGTGACAATGATGCTACTGGTCCAGGGACCATACTGTGAGAACCACTACCTTAAGAGTCAGTACATCATATAAAAGTTTTTTTCTGGGTAACAATGTTATTTGTGTGCATTATCATAATTCCTGTCAAAGCACTTATCACACATCTGTCACAGATTCTGTTTGGACTAAAAGAATTCACATATAATACTGAGTGGGAAGCTTTGGAAAAGAAGTCTACTCTATGAGACATGGCACTGGTACATAAACGGGTGTTTGTAAGAGGTTCTATTTGTGAGACATATTGAGGAAGTAAATACTGGTAATCATACTTAGTATTCCAGAGGTACAGATTTAGACTACTCAGTTCTTGAAGAGACTGCACCTACTTAGTTGCACTGTTATAGTTTCATAAGCAATATCTTAGAAACAAATTTAAAATGATCAGTCATGAGTTACAGGACATCTCTTATTCTGGATAAGTTATTCAGGTTTTTTGTTTAATATTTATTTTGCTTGTTAAGAACAAACACCATTTTAGGAAATCCTTTGAGCTTATACACATGTAAAGTTATGAAATGAAAGAGAATGAGGGGCCGGCCCCGTGGCCGAGTGGTTAAGTTTGCACGCTCCGCTGCAGGCGGCCCAGTGTTTCGTCGGTTCAAATCCTGGGCGAGGACATGGCACCACTCATGGAGCCATGCTGAGGTGGTGTCCCACATGCCACAACTAGAAGGACCCACAACTGAGAATATACAACTATGTACCGGGGGGCTTTGGGGAGAAAAAGGAAAAAAAAAAAAGAGAGAGAAAGAAAACTAGCCAAATAGCTAAAATAAAATAAATTAAAAAAACCTTTTAATCAACAGAACATTTAACTGTGGAGCTCTTAAGGAAGAATCACGTGATTTAGTTATCTTCCGTTAGGGAACTCAAACTAGTAAAAAGAAAACGGGATTTAAGACTTAAAACTCTTTATATTGGTAGCAAAACAGCTTTTCACCTTGTAACTTGCATAATTGAATATTCTAGATTAGCCAGCAGTATTGCATAAAGAAAGAATAGAAGCATGGTTTAAAGCAGCACTGTCCAATAGAAATATAATGCAAGTCACACATATAATTTTAATTTTTCTAGTAACTACATTAAAAAGATAAGGAAATGGGTGAAATTAATTGTGATAAAATGTTTTTAATTCAATATAACTAGACTATTATTATTAATGAGTTATTTTATATTTCATACTAGTCTTCAAAAACCAATGTGTGCTTTACACTTAGAGCAAATCTCAATTCGGATTAGCCATATTTCAAGAGTTCAATAGCCACATGTGGCTAGTGGCCACCATGCTGTACAGCACAGGTCTCAGAGTTACAGAGTGAGTAATGGAGAGCCCAGTTTTTACATTTTAAGAAGTTTTTCTTAGGTGAAATAGAAAGCTATTTTTTAAACATTTACCTCTGTCACTATCTTAATTCGGACCATGATCACTTGCAACTTGGATTACTACAATGACTTTGTCTTTGCCTGACACCAAGCTATCTAAAGATCCTGATCTTATTATTTCTTGCTCCTATGACTTACCTGCTAAAATTTCTTCAGTAGGTTGGTGTATTTTTCAAGATAATTTATACTCCTTAGCTTAGTGCTCCAGAGTCTGTATGATCTGACTCCTTTCATCCCTCTCTGACTCATTTCCTGCTCCACCCCAATTTGTAGCCTTCCCTCCCAGAAGGACCTACCTTTGGGGGCCAGCCTGGTGACATAGAGGTTAAGTTCTCGCGCTCTGCTCTGGCGGCCTTGGGTTCAGAACCTGGAACCCTCGCGTGGCCCTGCACATTGCTCAGCAAGCTGTGCTATGGCGGCGTCCCACATACAAAATAGAGGAAGCTTGGTACAGATGTTAGCCCAGCGACGATCTTCCTCGAGCAAAAAGAGAAAGATTGGCAACAGATGTTAGCTCAGGGCTAATCTTCCCTCCCCCCAAAAAGTTTTGTTTCCTATAGATGCCATTTTTCTTGATCCATGCCATTACATGTTTTTCTCTTTGCTAAATGCTCTTTAACCTTGCCCTTGTACCTCTTTACCTATCTAATGCCTACTGCTACTTGAGAATTCAGTGCGAAAATCATTTCCTCTGGGAAAACCTCTCTTATCCGCTACTGTGTACAGTAAAGGCAGCATATGCAAATTAAGATACAAATCTCTGACTGGCGAGAATATATTTGAATCACATGGACAAAGGGTTAATATCCATAATACTGTAGGAAAGAGTTATAAATCAATAAAAAGATGAAAGTCCAATGAAAATTTAGGAGGGTATGAATAGTTACTTTCTATAAGAAGAAATATAAATCATCAATAAATATGAAATACAACTTTTCACCTGTCAGGTTAGTAAATATTTACAAGAGTGATTGCATTTTATCATGAGTACAAAGCAGTGCTGTCCAATAGAACTATAATGTACACCACATATGTAATTTAAAGTTATCTAGTATCCATATTTAAAAAGTAAAAAGAAACAGGTATAATTAATTTTAATAATTTATTTTATTTGCCTCTTTATGTCCCAAATATGATTTCAACATATAATCAATATAAAAACTTATTAAATAGATATTTGATTTTTTAGTAGTAAGTCTTCAAAATCTAGTATAAAGATTTCAGAACATCTTAATTTTTGCGAGCCACATTAGAGGGATAGGTGTTCGTGTACATTATTGGTGAAGAGGCATTTTGGCAGAGAATTTGGCAATATTTATCAAATGAAAGATTCAAATGACCCAGGATTCTATTCCTAGAACTCTGTCCTCCAGAAATGCTAACGTGCGCTTAAGGATTATAGATAGGTAGATGTTTATTGCAATATTGTTTGTAAAAGGAAAACAGTGGAAACAACCTAAATGTCCTATAGGGGTTTGATTATATAATTCTGATATTTGCAGACGATGGGATACTGAATAATCTTTAAAAAATGTGGAAGATATTTAGGTTAACTGAGCTATTATATGACTTAATAAATATTACATGGTTTAATGTATGTAAAATGCTTAGAATGTGACTGGCACATAGTAAATGTGATATTAGTGTTATTATTAATTTATTGATATGGAATAATCTTCCACATGTTAAGTGAAAAGAAAAAACCTGCAAAATCTAGAACTATATATAGTACACCATCATTTGTGTAGAGGGGAAGAAAGAATATATATGTATGTATTTGCTTGTATATGTGTCTAGTGTCTGAAAGGGTGTGTAAGAAACTGACAACATTGATTATATTTGGAGAGGGGAACTAGGTGGTGGAGGGATAGAGACTTTTTACCACCCTCTTTTTTGTGCTTTTGAATTTGATCTGTAATGAATATACTACTCAGAAAACAGTGTAAATCAAATCTCTCCCTTAAATTTTTTTGAAAAATCTATACCGTTGTTATATTTATAATTTGTATGAATTATTATGATTTTAATCAGGAAAAAACAATACAGGATAGTTTTACTTCAGTTATCTGGAATGGCTAGGTGATATGGGATTCTGGGTAAATTTAATTTTTGATTTATCAGAATGTTAATGAGAAACACTTGGTTTCAAAATGTATATGACTTGAAAGTATTTCTAAGTTGTCCTTTTTCTTGTCAAAATAAGTATGGCATGTTGAACTTAATACATCTGGTTTATTTTTGAGGATTTTGCAGGACATAGGGATCATTCTTTTTTAGAAATTGTAAGAAATTGGGTTTAAATACATACTGACTTTAGAGTATATTTAGAAGATATTCTTCAAAAATTAAAGCCAACAACCAAGAAAACTTGGTCCTAATGTAAGATTTAGTGTGTGCAAGTGATATTTCTTCTGAGAATTGAAGTCTGATTAAGAGGATGGAAGAATTCTGATTAATTTAAAGATTGGCACCTCAGCTAACGTCTGTTGCCAATCTTTTTTTTTTTCTTCTTCTTCTCTCCAAAGCCCCGCAGTACATAGTTGTATATTCTAGTTGTAGGTCCTTCTGGCTATGCTATGTGGGATGCCACCTCAGCATGGCTTGATGAGTGGTGCTAGGTCCGTGCCCAGGATCCAAACCAGGGAAACCAGGGAAACCCTGGGCCGCCAAAGTATAGCACACAAACTTAACCGCTTGGCTATAGGGCTGGCCCCTGGTTAATTTAAGTTTTATAGTGCTGACCATCTTTTTTTTTTTTTTTTTTTTTTTTAAAGATTTTATTTTTTCCTTTTTCTCCCCAAAGCCCCCCCGGTACATAGTTGTATATTCTTTGTTGTGGGTCCTTCTAGTTGTGGCATGTGGGACGCTGCCTCAGCGTGGCTCGATGAGCAGTGTCATGTCCGCGCCCAGGATTCGAACCAATGAAACACTGGGCCGCCTGCAGCGGAGCGCGCGAACTTAACCACTCGGCCACGGGGCCAGCCCCAGTGCTGACCATCTTTTATATCAGACTTTCTGGACAAATATATATAGTAATTTTATATTTTGAGTATATAGCTCTTTCTGGACAAATATATATGGTAATTTTATATTTTGAATATATAGCTCTTTCTTTTTCATGAGAATTTATCATCACTTGTGGTGTTTTTAGGATTTGGTGTGGATCAGTTACGAGATGACAATCTAGAAACTTATTGGCAATCAGATGGCTCCCAGCCTCATTTAGTGAATATCCAATTCAGGTAATACATTTTTGAATTTTTCAATTTGTGTAGGTTATAAGAGGATAAATAAATCTATTTTATTTACATAAAATTTAAAGAATATGGAAATTATAGTGAAATGCTCTTAATTCTGCTTTTTATCAGCCTTAGAGATTGTTTTTCTGCTCAACTAGACTGTAAATATTTTAAGTTTACTGTCTTATCCTTTATGAATTCTTTATGATTCCTTACACAGTTCCTTTTACATGGATGTTTCTCAGTGATTTATTTCAGAAAAATATGCTTTGCTTATGACCCAATGTGATACCTTAATGTATTGCATTTAGTACACTTGGAGTGATGATAGTACGTTCTTTAGCTATAGACTGTTCACGTAAGTTCTCAAATTTGTAATTCCATTTGGAAAAAAATATTTTAACTTAGAACCTCTAAAGATGTTTTCAGTTTGAAAATGCTTATTCATTTTCGGGGGAAAGGAAAACAGCCATGTGTTTGTCAACTGCTTTAAATTTTTTGACATAGGTGGAAACCAGTTAACTCAGTTGTTTTGCTCCATTTATATCATGTATTTTAACATTCTATAGCATTGTAGTTTTAGTTTGTTTTTGTTGTCCTAGGGTACAAATCAACAAATTTCTCGTGAAAAAGCCAAATAGTAAACATTTTAGGTCTTATGAACTATCTGGTCTCTCTTGCGACTACATAGCTATGCCGTCATAGGATAAAAGCACCCATAGGCAATGCGTAATGACTGCATTTAGCTGTTCTAATTAACTTTTATCTTACAAAAGTAGGTGGTGGGCAGGATTCAGCCAGTGCGCTGTAGTATGCCAACTCCTGTCTTAGAATCTTAAGTATGTAGGCACCAGAAATAAAAATAGCAGCTGTTTTTTTTTTAAAGACTTAAAATACCAGATACTTTGCTAAATACCTTACCCATTTATTTCATTTAACCGTTACAGCTATTTTTATCCTTATGTTGTAGTCTCAGAAGCAGAGGATTACACACAGCAGGTGAGTGGCAGAATTGCAATTTGAACATAAGCACTCTGACCTGAGAGCCTGTGCTTTTAAGCATTATGCTGTGTAGCCTAGGATAAATTTCTTCTCTGTGACAACAGAGGCTATCACTTAAAAGTTGTATAATGAGTGTCCTAATTCAATTGTATTATATTGGAATAGCAGGGTTTTTTTAGCAAATACAATTTTATACAGAAGGCCAATGTACTGAACAAATAATAGTAAAAATAGGTCACATTTATTGAGCACTTATTAAGCGTTAGGTACTGTATTATCTCTTTAAGAGTTTAAATTTAATATTTAATAGTTATTAATATATATCATTTCTTAATAATCCTCAAAACAGCTTTGTAAGATGTAGGTACTATCATTTTTCTCATTTTACGGATGAAGAAACTAAAATTTAGAAAGATTAAATAACTTACTAAGATCATACATTGTGGTATAGAGCCTGCATTTGATCTAGAAGGCTTGACTTCACAAATGGTTGCTAGTCAGTACTCAGCTGCTTCTCAGCAAAGATGTAGTTATTCTTATTAAAACAGTCAGAAACTCAAGGCCCTCCCCACTTAACTCAGCCCCTGCCCTCACTAGGGAAACCCAGGACTTTGAGGAAGACATTTTTTTTTTCAGTTGTTTTTTTTTTTTTTAATTAAGGTTATGAAAGTTAACATCCTTGTGAAATTACAGTTGTACATCATTGTTAGTCATGTTGTAGGTACGCCACTTCACCCCTAGTGCCCTCCCCCCACCCCCCTTTCCCCTGGCAACCACCGATCAGTTCTCTTTGTCCATATGTTAACTACCACCTATGAGTGGAGTCATACAGAGTTCGTCTTTCTCTGTCTGGCTTATTTCACTCAACATAATACCCTCAAGGTCTATCCATGTTGTTGTGAATGGGACGACTTTGTCCTTTTTTATGGCTGAGTAGTATTCCATTGTGTATATATACCACATCTTCTTTATCCAATCATCAGTTGCTGGCACTTAGGTTGGTTCCACGTCTTGGCTATTGTGAATAATGCTGTGATGAACATAGGGGTGCATGGAACTTTTGGAATTGCTGATTTCAGGTTCTTAGGATAGATACCCAGTAGTGGGATGGCTGAGTCATAAGGTATTTCTATTCTTAACTTTTTGAGGAATCTCCATACTGTTTTCCATAGTGGCTGCACCAGTTTGCATTCCCACCAACAGTGTATGAGGGTTCCCTTTTCTCCACAACCTCTCCAACATTTGTCACTCTTGGTTTTGGATATTTTTGCCATTCTAACAGGTATAAGGTGATATCTTAGTGTAGTTTTGATTTGCATTTCCCTGATGATTAGTGATGATGAGCATCTTTTCATGTGTCTATTGGCCATCTGTATATCTTCTTTGGAGAAATGTCTGTTCATGTCCCTTGCCCATTTTGTAATTGGGTTGTTTGATTTTTTATTGTTGAGTTGTGTGAGTTCTTTGTATATTATGGAGATTAACCCTTTGTTGGATAAATAACTTGTGAATATTTTTTTCCCAATTAGTGGGCCGTTTTTTTCTTTCAATCCTGTTTTCCCTTGCCTTGAAGAAGCTCTTTAGTCTGATGAAGTCCCATTTGTTTATTCTTTCTATTGTTTCCCTCATGTGAGGGGTTATGGTGTCCGAAAAGGTTCTTTTGAAGCTGATGTCGAAGAGTGTACTGCCGATATTCTTTTCTAGAAGACTTATTGTTTCAGGCCTAATCTTTAGGTCTTTGACCCATTTTGAGTGTATTTTAGTAAACGGTGAAAAAGAATGGTTGATTTTCATTCTTTTACATGTGGCTGTCCAGTTTTCCCAACACCATTTGTTGAAGAGACTTTCTTTCCTCCATTGTAGGCCCTCAGCTCCTTTGTCAAAGATTAGCTGTCCATAGATGTGTGGTTTTATTTCTGGGCTTTCAATTCTGTTCCATTGATCTGTGCATCTGTTTTTGTACCAGTACCATGCTGTTTTGATTACTGTAGCTTTGTAGTATGTTTTGAAGTCAGGGATTGTGATGCCTCCAGCTTTGTTCTTCTTTCTCAGGATTGCTTTAGCAATTCGCAATCTTTTGTTGCCCCATATGAATTTTAGGATTCTTTGTTCAATTTCTGTAAAGAATGACATTGGAATTCTGATTGGGATGGCGTTGAATCTGTAGATTGCTTTGGGTAGTATGGACATTTTAACTATGTTTATTCTTCCAATCCATGTGCATGGAATGTCTTTCCATCTCTTTATGTCGTCATCGATTTCTTTCAAGAAGGTCTTGTAGTTTTCGTCGTATAGATCTTTCACTTCCTTGATTAAATTTATCCCAAGGTATTTTATTCTTTTTGTTGCGATCATGAATGGGATTGAGTTCTTGAGATCTTTTTCTGTTAGTTCATTGTTAGCATATAGAAATGCTACTGATTTATGTATGTTGATTTTATACCCTGCAACTTTGCTGTAGTTGTTGATTGTTTCTAATAGTTTTTCTATGGATTCTTTGGGGTTTTCTATATATAAGATCATGTCGTTTGCAAACAGCGAGAGTTTTACTTCTTCATTGCCTATTTGGATTTCTTTTATTTCTTTTCCCTGCCGAATTGCTCTGGCCAAAACCTCCAGTACTATGTTAAATAAGAGTGGTGAAAGTGGGCACCCTTGTCTTGTTCCTGTTCTGAGAGGGATGGGTTTCAGTTTTTGTTCATTGAGTATGATGTTGGCTGTGGGTTTGTCATATATGGCCTTTATTATGTTGAGGTACTTTCCTTCTATACCTATTTTATTGAGGGTTTTTATCATAAATTGATGTTGGATCTTGTCAAATGCTTTCTCTGCATCTATTGAGATGATCATGTGGTTTTTGTTTCTCATTTTCTTAATGTAGTGAATCACGTTGATTGACTTGCGGATATTGAACCATCCCTGTGTCTTGAGGAACACATTTTTAAACAAGTGTTTTTAAAAAAGGGAATTCATTAAGAATTTTAAAATAATCTCATACTTACAGGAAAGTTTCAAGTAAAGTACAACTTTTTTCTGAATCATTTCAGAATAAGTTGCCAATATGATGTTTCATCTCTCCAGAATACTTTTGTATGTCATCCTTATAAACAAGGACATTCTCCTACGTAACCACAATACATCCTTAGGAAATTAGCATTGGTACATTATTATCGTTTAATTCTACAACCTCGTTCAATTCTACCAGTTGTTCCAATAAAGTCGAATCACAGGTTGAATTTAGTTGTCACTTCTCTTTACTCTCCTTTAATCTGGACCATTTCTTCACTCTTTCCTTGACTGTCATAATCTTGGCACTTTCGCAGATTATAGGCCCATTATTTTAAAGAATGTCCCTTAATTTGAGTTTCTTCAGTCTTTCTTCAGGTTATAGATCTTTGGGAAAAATAGCACAGAAGTGATGCTATATCCTTTTTTCACTGCATCCTATCAAGAGTGGTACATGATTTTGATTTTGTCCCATTACTGATGATGTTCATACTTCTATCACATGATTAAGGTGGTCTCTGCCAAGCTTTGGCTGGAAAGTTACTTTCATGTTATTCAAAATTATTAAGATCAGTATGAACTTGGAGTTTCCTGTTTTACTCAACGGCTTAAAATCTGTTATTATCATTATTTGTGTCAATGTTCAAATTGTTCCAGATTTGGCCAGTGGGAGTCCCCTCAAGTCAACTATTACTTTTTTTTTTTTTTTTCAATTTTTTTATTGAGGTCTTAATGGTTTATAACATTGTGTAATTTCTGATGTACATTATTATATACCAGTTTCTGTATAGACTGCATCATGCTCACCACCAATAGTCTAGTTTTTGTCTGTCACCATACACGTGTGTCCCTTTACCCCTTTTGCCTACCCGCCACTTCCCCTCTGGTAACCACTGATCTGTTCTCTTTATCCATGTGTTTGTTTATCTTCCACGTATAAGTGAAATCATGCAGTGTTTGTCTTTCTCTGTCTTGCTTATTTTGTTTAACATCAT